TGCATCTCAGTAACTTTAATGACCAGGGAACAAAGTGAACGAAAGAAGTTACTAATGTCGGTCAAAGGACCCCAAATAGCAGATGGCAATAAACCGCGAAAAGCAACTAGAATTAGTCATTGCATGAAAACATGACAATCATGACTTGTCATCCCAAATAACCTGGACTCATTCAAGTTAACACATCTTGATATGGTGGAAGCAAACCCATCTGGAAAGCGCAACTGTTTTAGCCATGCACATAGAAGCTTTTGTTTTTCAGATGTCAGTGCATAACTAGCATTAGGTTTCACAAGCTTCCCATGCGTATTATATCCCATGTGCAGTTTTCTTCGATCACAATAAATGGCTAAATCCAATCTTGCTTTCCCATTGTCTTTTGTCTTATTGTCATTCATAACAGTGTGTATTATATTATCAAAGAAATTTTTCTCACAGTGCATTACATCAAGATTATGTCGAATAAGATTATCATGCCAATAAGGAAGTTCCCAAAAAATGCACCTTTTCACCCAATTATGGCTATTCCCAAAACCCTCAATTGTTTGGTTTTCAAAGGGTTTCCCAAACAACACATCAGGAAGGTTTTCAACTCGGTGACGCATTGAAACACCATCCAATCGAGGAGGGAGACTGCCTAATTCAACCCGACCCTTCAAGAAATTACTTTGATCAAATCTAAAACAATGTGATTTTGGTAAAAATTGACGATGACAATAAAAAAAACATGGTTTCTGACCATTTTGAAGATAAAAAGATTGTGTCATCTCCATACAGTAAGGACATGACAATTGGCCATGGGTGCTCCAACCAACCACCATACCATAACCCGGAAAATCAGTTATGGTCCACATCAACATAACCCGCATTATAAAGTTTTGCTTACGATAACTATCATATGTTTCTACACCAATCGACTATAACATTTTCAAGTCTTCAATTAAAAGTCGAAGGAAAACATCAATATTTTTGCCTGGGCTTTTTGGACCAGCAATGACCAATGTAAGAAAAGTAAACTCTGGTCGCATGCACATCTCTGGTGGTAAGTTATAAACAATTAAAAAAACTGGCCAACAAGAGTAGGAGGTTGAAGAATGAGCCCATGGGTTGAAACCATCAGTAGTAAGACCTAATCGAACATTACGAGGTTCTGTTTTAAAAGAAGGATTCATTTGATCAAAATGTCTCCATGCTTCTGATTGTGCTGGATGAATAACCTCATCCGTATCACCACAACATTTCAAATGCCATGTCATGTGCTCAGCTATTTTTTGAGACATGTATAGCCTTTGAAGGCGAGGTATTATTAGCAAGTACCAAAAAGAATTCCTCGGAATGTCCTTTTGTCTATTCCTCCCTGGATTTCCCTATTTATACCTCGCTTCTCCATAGATTGGACATGTAATCAATGTTTTCGTATGCTCCCCATAGTATAAAAAGCAATTATTAACACAAGCATCAATTTTTAGATAACCTAACCCAAGCCCCTTCATATATTTTTTTACTTCATAAAAGTTTGAAGGAACTTTTTCTTGATCTTCAGCACTTAACAACCTTCTACATCCTTTGAGAATGACATTAAAACCATTAGCAATTATATTATTTGTAGTCTTTTTATGCAACATATAAGAAAGCCAGCTAAGCACTGTCTCATTTCTTTTAGCACTACCAAGGGGAATTGTAGATGCATGAAGCAAGTCATAAAATGTCTTTGCTTGATTGTTTGGTTCCTCGTCTAGATGTTGATTGGGGAAATTACCTTCCATTTCTCGATTATCATCATCCTCTGGACAAAATGCATCATACACCATTTCACGAAAGTCATTCCTTTCATCGTGGTGTGTATCTTGGCTATGTGATGATTCTCCTAAATTATTAGCAGACCATGGATCTACTGAATCCACAAATGTCTCACCATGTGCCCACCAAACAGAATAAGCATTCATAAAACCATACTTAGTAAGATGG